GGAGGGGTATCACCTCACCTTCCCGGCAGCAGAAGCCATACTAAAGGGATAGCACAGGGGTTGGCAGGTGGCGTGGTGGTTGAGGACGCTGGACTCCCACATGGCCGACCACGGTTCAAGTCCTGGACCTGGAGGCTTGCTCTCTCACTTTCCCTCTCTCTCTTTCTCGCTCTGTCCCTCTCTGGTCAAATTTTTAAAAAATGAAATAAATGAATGAATAAATAAAGTTAAATACAATAATTATTTAAAAAGAGAAAGAATGGTTAAATGTGAGAAATAGGGAAAGGGACTGACTGGAAGAAATATGAGGAGGGCTTCTGGGGTTCTGAAAACATTCTATTTCTTGATCTGAGTGAGAGTTACATAGTCACTTGCATTGTGAGCAATTTTTTTTTCCTCCGAATTGGCAGAAGACATGTTTGCTCATCAGAAAGAGACAGAAAGATGAGAGGAGAAAGAATGGTTAAATGTGAGAAATAGGGAAAGGGACTGACTGGAAGAAATATGAGGAGGGCTTCTGGGGTTCTGAAAACATTCTATTTCTTGATCTGAGTGAGAGTTACATAGTCACTTGCATTGTGAGCAATTTTTTTTTCCTCCGAATTGGCAGAAGACATGTTTGCTCATCAGAAAGAGACAGAAAGATGAGAGGCAAGATAAGGTGGCTAGAGCCCACATAGCCAACTACATGGTTTAAGTCCCAAACAAGGGGACTTGAAAAACATACCAGGCAGGGAACCAGCAGTTAGCGTAATGGCTATGTCGCTGGACTCCCACGTAGTCGACCGTGGTTCGCATCCCGGCCCCGGTGGCTTAAAACTCACGCCAGGCGTGTGTGTGTGTGTGCGTGCCAAAGATCCCGAGAGGAGAATGGAGGAGAAGGGATTGTGGCGTGGCCATCCCCTCTGGGGGGTGATTTCTCGCTTTCTGTCTCTGTGTCTCTCTCTGTCTGTCTGGCGAGCACACGTGCCCTATAGTGAAAATCTCTCTCAAAAAAAAAAAAAAAATACCAGGCACACGTGTGCATGCCCAAAATCCTGAAAGGAGGGAGAGGTGGAGAAGGGATTGAGATGTGATCATGCTCCATGTAGGGGGAGGGTGCTTTCTTGCTTCCCCATTCTCTGTCCCTCCCTCTCCAGTGAGCACACATGCCCTTCAGCAAATTAAATAAATAAATAAAAAGATGTGGAAGCTACCTAATAGTCACATGTAAGAAGACAGCATGTGTGGGCTAATGGAAATGATGAGACAGTGAGGTTTCATCTTATTGTACCTACTTTCTCTATCAAACAAGAGGCAAAAACATTAGCAAAGATGAACTGGATAGGCAAGTGGAGAGCTATGGAGAGAGTTGAAAAGTGAATTTTTTATGAAAATACAATAGAATCAGGATTTCAAGATCATATTGAGTGCTCATTTGCCATGAATTTGAATTATGTACAAGCAGTGCATGTGGCAGAAACTGCTACCTGGCCCCCAGCATCTCTTCTCTTCCTCAGGAACAGTTCCCAATTTTTAGCTGGGTAAATAAATCATCATCCAGAATGAAGTCCACACACACCTCTCAGCTTCTTTTAGACCAACATGGCATGTTACTAGCATGGAAGTCTTACATGGAACTTCTGCCATGTGTACCAAAAGAAGGGACACTTGCCCTTCTTTCTCCTCCTTTCTGCTAGACAGAATATGGACATGGTGGCTGGAGCTCAGGCAGCCATCCTGGACCATGAGGTGACCTTGAAAATTGAGGGGACCCACAGCAGAGCAATAAAACAGAAGAACATGGGGCCAGGAGGTAGCATGGTGGTTAAGGCGCTGGACTTCCTCATGGCCGAACACGGTTTGAGTCCCAGACCCAGCAGCTTGAAAATCACACCAAGCACATGTGCCTGCGTGCCCAAAATCCCAACAGGAAAATGGAGAAGAAGGGACTGTGGCATGGCCATTCCCCTGGGGTACCATTCCCCTCTCTCTTTCTCTCTCTCTCTCTCTCTCTCTCTCTCAATTTAGAAGTCGAAGAACAAGGTATAGGTTGTATTGGTTTCTTTCGGGGTCTCCATCCTTGGCTTTTGGACAGCTGCCTTCTCCTTGTGGCTTCACATGGTCTTTCCTCTTGTGTGTGTGTCTTAATTTACTCTTCTTTTATAGAGGATTTGGGCCTTCCCAGTGACTTCATTTTACCTTAGTTACAATTTAACAAGTCCTATCTCCAAATACAGTCACATTCTGAGATACAGAAGTTAGAACTTCAACATATGATCTGGGGCAGTGAGAGGACATGCTCTGGCCTATCAAAAGTGCTAATGGTGATCCTTGCAATAATAGCTAACATTTCCCCAAGGTTTATTTAGTGTTTGGAATTGTATTGAACACTCAACTTGAATTTAATCCTTAAAAACAGTCTCAGGATCAGCCCTGTAGCTCCATGGTTAAGCATTGTGCATGGGAAGCTGGATCCCAGATGGCCCACCACAGTTCGAATCCCAGTCTCCAAACTATGTTGGGTGGGTTTGTGTGCATGCCAAAAATCCTGATGGGATAAAGAAATGGAAGAGGGATCGCGACATGACCATGCTCCACTGAGAGGGTGCTTCTCTCTCTCTCTCTCTCTCTCTGGTAAGCACAGATGCCCTATGGCAAAGACTTAAAATTAAAAAAATTAGAAGAGTTTGGACTAGTGGTGATCATGGAGCCAGCATGTTCACCAGTTCTGAACCTTCCATATTCAGATTTCTATGAAAAAGAGAACTCCTACCTTATCTTGTTTTCTGTGCCCACCATTTTACCAAACTTATGTAATACAGATTAAGTGTGCTTTTCCCCCAGGAATATTTAGTTGATTTGGTACAGATGCAAAATAAGCACATAATCATTTATACCAGGTTAGGGTTTAGCTAAATGAGCACAAGAACACAAAATGTATGTTGAAATGGTTCTAGTGCAGCCAGAGACTCTTAAGTGGCAAAAAGATGAGAGCAGCAGAGATGAGTGACAGAAAGAGCCAACAGACCCCTGGTTCCACAACTACTCCTTCATTTCCGTCCTTCAACGAAATTGTACCTGTGGGGTTTATTTTATTTGAGTACAAAATAAAGAGTACTGAATAACAGAGCATCACTTACCTATGTTTCTTGCCAAATGGAATTTTCCCATTTTTACCTAAAAATACCACACTAACACTACAACTTGGCCCATCAGTCTAATCCCTCTCCTCAATTAATCCTTAGCTACATGAGAAAGAGAATGGGAGGTATAAGAAAGCAACCAGAACTCAAAAAGGCAAACTTTCAGAAGAAAAAAAAGTAAGAACACAAGACAACGCCAGGTCCCCCTCTCCACCTCTCTGGAGGATGCTCTGGAGCATGGTGCCAGAGAAGCATTTCACTCCTGCCTGCCTGTTCAGTACATCTTCTGCCAGCATCTAGGTCTGGGGCAAAGTAACATGAGGACCAGAAGAAAGGGAAAGCAGCAGGAGCAGACCTGTGGCTAGATGAGAAGAGGAGGAGGAAGGACGGAGGAATATTCTCACTGAAAAAGGGGAAGAGGACAAAAGGGAAAATCCAACAGCCAAACAGCAAGATCTGATAGTCCAGGGAAAAGACACAGGCAGTTTGAGTCCATGTAAGTTAGGAATGCCTGGGACATCAGAGATTACAAAGACCATGCTGATCTCTGACAGAAAGCACTCTCAACTCACTTAAAATCACTTCTTCTTCTTTCTGACCTCTCTGCAGCAGGAAACTACATGCTACTGCCAAAATTCCTACAAAGAATCTATCTAGAGCAGAAGAAAAGGTTAAGAAAAACATATTAGAAGGCATTAGCAGGACCAGGAGTTAGCATAATGGCTATGTCGTTGGACTCCCATGTAGTCGACCGCGGTTCGCATCCCGGACCTGGTGGCTTAAAACTCACGCCAGATGTGTGTGTGTGCATGCCCAAGATCCCGAGAGGAGAATGGAGAAGGGATTGTGGCGTGGCCATCCCCCCGGGGGGTGATTTCTCACTTTCTGTCTCTCTGTCTCTCTCTGTCTGGCGAGTGCATGCGCACTATAGCAAAAACCTCTCCAAAAAAAAGGCATTAGCTGGGAGTAATCTAAAATTTAAATCAAAGTGCCATTTATTATACAGGTCAAGATGTTCATTTTAGTTAAAAAAAAAAAATTAATTCCAGGAAGAAATTTTTTTTCCCCCAATTATCCATCTGACACTCAATCCATAGTGCAAGCCAAAAGCCTAAAAAAGCACCTTACCTTTACCAGTACATAGTCCCCTGGCTGGGCTCTGACCTTGAGTCCAGGGTTAGTGACATCTTCCACCTCTACATCAGGGAAGATCACCTTAAGGTTACCATCATTCCGGCCGCACAGGTCAGTGGCAGAGCGTTTACTAAGCTGTGGAAACAATATAAAAACTTTATGAATGTGTCACAGTCCTAAGTTCTTAGAGGACAGAAATTGTGCCTTCTCTGTCTCAGACTCCTCCCAAGGTTTTATCCACAGAGCACTCCTAAGCAAGGAATCACTGAAGACTCAGTGTTCATTGCTGCAAGGACAGTGCATGGACACAGAAGGCAACTCTAAAGCGCTGCTGAATATATTGTTTCTTATCTTCTTCTTTTTTTTTTTTTTTTAGAAGTTTTAGCTATAGGGCATGTGTGCTTGCCAGGGAGAAAGAGAGAGACAGAGACAGTGACAGGGAAAGTGAGAAATCACCCCCCAAAGGGGATGGCCATGCTACAATCCTCCATTCTCCTCCTGGGATCTTGGTCACACCCTCAGGTATGCCCAGTGTGAGTTTCAAGCCACCAGATCCAAGACTAGAACTGCAGTCAGCCATGTGGGAGTCCAACACCTTAACCACCATGCCATCTGCTAGTCCCAGCTGGCTATATTTTAATGACTCAATCAATGAGCATTTGAGTACAGAATTGCCTTTTGTAAGAATGGACTACAATGAGCCTAAACCAGGAAAATGTGGATGATGTATTTAGCAAAATAACTTTCACTTTACCTCATCTCATATTAATGACTCAAGAATGTATTCTAGAGATATCTGGCCTGGGTTACTTGTCCCTACTGAATGGCCAAACTAGAAGACAGGGTCTCCATTATAACATGCAGAAAAGCAGAGCTGGGAGGATAATAAAACCACTATGATGGAATCAACTTTTAGAATATGCAGTTTCTCTCCCAACCATGATGAAATGACAAAAACTACCCTCTGGACTTAAATGACCATGAAATTTGTCAGAACTTGAAACAACTGTTTTCAGATATTGGACAATAAGACACACAAAAAGTATGATTTACAAGAGAAGGAAAACAAATGAGGTAAGTCCTCTTAGCACCCCTGCTTTCTACCACAGGCACATGCCAAAGCAGAGCATGTGAAGCAAAGACCTCAAGCAGAGAACAGTGGTTTTCTCAGCACTGAGAAGAGAAGGACCAGAGTTCAGGGAGCCTGGGATGGCTAGAAATCATGGAGCAAATTCCAGAGAGGAGGAAGCTAAACAAACAAAAAAGAGCTCCAGACACATGTATAGGGATCTCCTCGAGTCTTTACTGAATACCAACACATGTACAGAGTGAAACTCCATGAAGTTAGTCCAAGAGAGTAACCTGGCAACTGTCAGCTGAATGGTTCCCAGAGTTCACATAGGGCTGGAAAACACATGACCTTCCACCACACTGTTTCTTGGGAATATTTAGTAACAATTCTTGAAAGTAGTAGTACTGAGGCTAAAAAATTTATTAAGTACTTTAGTAGTGAGGCTAAACTATCCCTAGAATAAAAAAGCTTATCTATAAAACCAAGCCTTGAAAAGATCAAACTGAATTGTAAACAACTTAATTGCCTATTAGAATAATGCCCAATGCAAAATCTAGAAACTCAAAATTGTCTAGCATCCAATCAAAAATTACTAGGTATGCCCAGAAACACCAAAACATGACTCATAATCAAGAAAAAGCAGTAATAGAATAAAAGAAATGACAGCCTGGTGGAATTAGTATAAAAACACATAAATCAGCTATTATTGGGCTGTCAGAAAAGTCATGATGTATTTTTCCTGTTTTTCAAAGTTTTTTTTAATACAGAAAACAAAGACCAATCAATGATATATTGCCTGTTTTGTTCAATAGCTTTTTGCCATCTTTCAATGAGCTGCCTAATTCCTCATTCATAGAAGGACCTGCCTTTATTGGTGAAAAACTGAACAAGATGCTGATTTACAGCCTCATCTGATTGAACATTATACCATGCAAGAACTTTTGAAGAGAGTGAAACAAGTAGAAGTCTGACAGTGTAAGATGAGGCAAATATGGTGGGTATGGCAACACATCCCATAGAGGCTCCAATAACTTTTGGTATGTGACAAAATTTGTGTGTGGTCTCACATTGTTCTGATAGAACACAACTCCTTTACAATTAACAAGCTCTGGATGTTTCTGGATGATGGATTCATTCAAACTGTCCAACTGCTAGCTGTACACATTTGAATTGATTGTTTGGTTTCTTGGTAGGAGTTCGAAAAACACGACACCTTTAAAATCCCACCACACTGAGAGCATAACCTTCCTCTGATGAATGTTTGCTTTCAATGTCATTTGATGCAAATCATCACATTGGGACCAAGACCTTTTGCACACCCCATTGTTGAAACAATCCATTTCTCATCAGTTATCAGTCACTTCAAAAAAGGATCATCTTGGGACCAGCAGTTAGCATAATGGCTATGTCGCTGGACAACCACGTAGTTGACCGCGGTTCTAGTCCTGGACCCAGTGGCTTAAACTCACGCCGGGCACGTGTGCATGCGTGCCCAAGATCCCGAGAG